TGAAATACTGAAAAAGAAGGTGTTCATTTATTATAATATCCCTAAAGCATGCAAACAATCTTTTGCCAAACCACAAAGAATGAGTGGTGGCATTTACTTAAAACAGGTAAGAATCTTAAGAACTTTCTGCAACATAGTTTTTACAGCCTCTAGAACCAAGAAATACTCTCCTTGTGGGGAGAACTAGTGTTATCTGCTTGGATTATAAACCAAAACCTGGAGAACATATACATTACTGTGATTTTGCCAGTGTGCATCCATATGTTGACAAAACTAAGAGTACTCACCTCAGCTTTCCAAAAGATTTTACATGGATTTCAGATTATTTTGAGATTGCTAGGTTAAAGTAACCATCCTAGGGGTCTTTCAGCTGATTGCCAGGGTGGTGGAAAATGAATCAAATGGGAATTTATGCAAAGGATGTCTGGTTAAGCTTGAGACAGGAATGCCTGCAATCCAGGTAAGGGCCTGGAGGAGGATGATAAACTACTGGCTGAAAATTCAATTCTTTCCAGCTGGCCTGACCCCTCTAGTTTTAATGGACAATTTTCCTTCTCCCTGGAAACAGGCCATAGAGCAGAAGTTGGCATTATACGGGCTTTCTGTACCATTCCCAATTTCCTTAGGGTATCACCAAGCCAAACAACTGCTTGCCCAAAGAATAAGGGACAAGGAGTTCCAGGCCAAAGTTAATAGGTTGCTCCCACATGGCAGAAATTGGATCAATAAAGTACTTGGGAACCAGCAAAATACTTACAAAATCTAACTTTCCCCAGGCTGAGGAGACCATGTTTCAAAGCCAGGAATAACATCTTATCATCTGCATTGCTGCAAGGCAGATATTCCCAAACCCCATTAACCGAGTGTACCTGTCCATGTGGTCACAAGGAGAATGAATCCATTTCTCATGTATTATTACACTGTAAATTCTACAGGGATAACAGGTCTGCTTACATTCTGCCCCTAATATGTAAATTCCCAGGAAGGCCAGACAATTTCTTTGTGAATCATCTTTTAGAAGATTTGAAATCTTTCATCACTTGTGCAGCAGCCAAATTCTGTATCGCTGCAATAAATAAGGCATAACTGGTCATAGGAATAACCACTTCTGTTGTATTCATCTCTTCAGGTTTATTATGTGTTAGTTATCTTGTTTTAGGTGATATGTATTTTTATGGCACAGATTGTAATACAGGTAATCCTCGCTTACCGACCACTTATTCAGTGACTGTTCAAAGTTACAACGGTCTGAAAAGGGACACTTGTGATCGGTCCTTGAAGTTGCAGCCATTACAGCGTCCCTGCAGATATGTGATCGCAATTTGGGTGCTTGGCAATCAGTGCACATTTATGATGGTTACAATGTCCCATGGTCACGTGATCGGCATTTGCAACCTTCACAGCCAGCTTCTGACAAGCAAAGTCAATGGGGAAGCCAGCAAGAAATTGCAAGTCACACTTAATGATCGCATGGGATTCACTTAATGACCTCAGCCAGAACTGACGTTGTAAGTTGGTGTGGTCATGTGATGTCATGCTTAACAACTGCACCACTTAGCAATGAAGCTGCTGGTCCCAATTCCAGTTGGTAAGTGAGGACTACCTGTATTTTATACTTGCGCAGTTAATTAACATACCATTATGTTAATTTGGGCAGTTGCACGGTTAATTAACATACTGTATCATTATAGTAGCATTTGTTACATGTTTATTATAGAGACTCCTTGTTATGTTAGTATTCTGTCTCACAGATTTGATTTTACTTTTGTGTTGTATATTTTAACATTTTGCTGGTGATTGACTGAATAAACATTACTGGTATTGGAAAATTCATGTTTCTGTTTAGTACAGTTTATGCAAAACCTTGGCAGATGGAACTGTGCAATCATGCTGATGAGGAACATGCACTGATGGGAGCATGATGCGCCACTGAGTTGAATGCAACCACAGAAAAGGGGTACACAGTGGTAAAATCTATGAAGGCTGACACTCTGAAAGCAGACTGGTTTTCAGAGAATGTGAACGTTCACCTTTGTTGGAAGCAGGAAGCTTCAGAATATCCCTGAGATGTGTTACCCAGATTATTAAATGAAATATTATAATTATTTTTAAAAAAGAAGAATGGGACCTGCTTTTAGCTAAGACCAGATTGCTGTCAGCCCTGCAAAGTGGTTGTTTAAAGGTGTTTTAAAACTCTTTGTGTGGAACATCTGGTCACATATCTAATCTGGGCAACACACAGTTATTGAAAGGGCTCAGCAAACTCATTAGACTTCTATTTTCAGACGCTTATGAAGTGTCCATGTACAATTTTATTGATGATGAAACTGTGTGTGACATGGAAACACTCTGAAGACCATCTAGGTAGGACAAATGAGATCACTGCACGCTTTACAACTGCTTATGCAGGACTGGAGCTTACAGCTCTACTGTTTACTTGAATAGCTTCAAGAGCGGTGCCTGTATTATGATACAGACTCTGTACTGTTAGTGAGTCAGCAGGGGCAATGAAATCCTGCTCTATGGGATTACTTAGGAGACCTTACAAGTGAAATTCCTGCAGATTAATTTTTTACAGAATATATAGCTGGTCCTAAAAATTCTGGAGGAACAGCTTGTAGAGCTATAGGTAACCATTCCCCATTTCTGACAAATATAAGTGTGCATCCCAGTTATTATTTGGATAATTATTTTCTTACACAGATCCATTAACTTTAATGCTCTACTGTACAAAATACATTGTATATTTTATGCTCTACTGTACAAAGTCATTCCTAAATATATGTTTATATTTGTACACAATTAGCTATTTATAATTTCTATCCTTGTATTTTTTAAAATGTATTGTCTGTCTACCATCCAAAGGCAAGATTCCAATAGAAGAGAATATATGTAGCTCAGGTTTGAACTGTGGAGTCCTTGGTGCTCTCTGAGTTTGGTTGTTTGCTTCCAGATGTTTCATTATCCAACTAAGTAACATCATCAGTGCTAGTGAGTATGGGGTTTGCTCCCAGGGCAAGCTACAGTATATAAATAGGGAGAAAACCCCACACTCACTCACACTGATGATGTTACCTAGTTGGGTAATGAAATGTCTGCAAGCAAACAACCAAGCTCAGAGAGCACCAAGGACTCCAAAAGCAGGATTACATTCCTGGATGAAAGATAAATGTGCTACCCTAGGTAAAGTGTTAGGCTCAAGACTGCTGATAAGCAGAAATTTTGATATGTTTTTAACACCCTTGTTAGAAAAGCAAATCCCAAAATAATGAAACAGAAACCTTTTATTCAAAATAATATTTTAAATAATTTACGAAAACATTTATAGGCTGTACCTGCAATAACAGTTGTTGCTTGTTTTACAAAGCACTGATCACAATTTTGCAGTATCTTTCTCAGATCTTTCAGAACAGCCTGAGAATGCCTGATTTCAGAAATCAAGATTAAACCATGATCAATTCTTGTGCTGGATTAGGACAATTTAAACTCTAGAATAAATCATGCACCATACTTTTAAAACATATTTTTACTTCCTGCTCCCCACATAAACACACATCTATTAAAGATTTTTTTTTTTGTCCTGAATAAGAATCCACAAGGAGCTTTAATGCAACATCCAGTGTCCTTTAGATATTGCTTAAAAGAATGCTTCTAAATTCCATATACAGGGCTTTTTGACATTTTGGTGATGTATGAAGTATGCGGTACCATTTCTGAAAGCCCCCTCACATTCTTCAGACTTGTCATATTGTTCAAATATAAACAGCCACCACCGTGGATCATTTTAACCTCCATACCGTGCACTGGTTATGATACCTGGGTTAAATGGATCCAAACAGCATTTGTTTCAAGGTTGAACAACACATTGAGTCATTTTGAGTTCAAATCACATAGTTTTTCTTGGGTAAAATCTTTAGGTGGAGGATTAAACATGGCATTAATGAATGCTCTCACTGCTTAAGGTTTCTCCCTCAGCATACCATCATGGTCACTATCTTTCAGTCTATGTTTAAGATAACAAATATATACCAAGGAGTAATTTTCAATAGTGTTCATACTTTCAAATCAAAATGGAAACTGGCAGCATAATTGGATATTCCATGTAAGTTTATCAGATTATTTGTTTGCTTTACTTCCAAATGTTTGTCCTTGGCTACATGCACATTAACATGCTTAATTTGCTTAGTGGAGTTGAATAATACTCCTTCTCTGCTGTAGCCCCTGCCCTTTGGAACATCTTGCCCCCGGAGGTGAGACAAGCCCCCTCACTCCAGGCCTTTTGGAGGGATTTGAAGACTTGGCTCTGCCATCTGGCCTGGGGCGGGGAGGGAGGATGTCAGAAATGGGGTTGGCTGGCCCCTTAGCGGCCTGGTACGGCCTCTATTGGCCTCTTGGATTATTTAGCCTTTTTATCTTTGTAAATCTGGTTTTTTATAACTTTTAATTATGTACTATATTTCTGATTTTAGTTTGTTGTAGGCCGCCCAGAGTCCCCCATTGTGGGGAGATGGGCAGGGACAAGTCAGTCAGTCAATAAATAAATAAATAAATAAATTCAACTATACACTAACTAAAGAAGCTGGCTTCATCCAACTATGTTAACTCATAAAAAACAAACCATAGTTTAAACAAACAGTTGACTTAGTAGTTAAGTAAAATGTGTGAACACAGTGTTTCTGCTTTAGCTTTCACCCATACTGCATAAAAATGACTTCTGCATTTGTTTTTCATGTGAACTGTGATTTGAAACACAACCACAGCAAAAGAAAATATTATCCATCCATCCACACACAGATTTATACAGAAAAAGAACAACACACGCAGAAAGAAACTGCATCAAATGTTGCCCGTTCTCCCTTGCTAAAGGGGCCAGGGAGCGTCCAATTTTTAAGCCGGGTCCTCAGTGAAGCAGGACTATACCTCCCAGAATCCCTTTCATCGCGGAAGACTTATTACGATGAAGAGCCCGAGTCGGAAGGCCAATCACAGCTCGAGATGTGCTTTCGTGAACGTTTCCTGTTGAGAAGTGGGAGACTTTGAAAAGAGTCCAGGTTAGATGGGTGGTTTGGTTTGGTTTGGTTTGGAGTTGGGCGGGGGGAGGCGTTCCACCGACGGGGGCATAATTTTTTTTCTGCCATGGAGGGAGTCGTAAAGAGTTCTTTGCTTCGTATCTTTTCCCCTCCCTGGTGGAGACGGAAGAACCCGCGCGCGCTTTAAGGTCTAGGCTGCTCTTTATTGCTGGGCTTTTATCTCGGGGCGTTCGTGGAAGCAGGGGTGCATCGTGGTCTCGCAGAGTCTGCGGGCGGGCGTGGGGTGGCTGCCTCTTCGGGGTGTGCGTCCTGCCCATGAACGCCTCTCCGTGCCCCGGGAGCGTTGTTGGACCGATCCTGACGCTGTAGCACTTGGGCGATAGGTCCTTCTCGCTTCCCTGCCTTCGCTCAGACCAGGGTGACCAGCTCTGCTCTGGTGAAAGTTACGCGCTTCCAAAACATGGACGTAGTTGCACAGCCCCAGGAATGGTCTCCCAGTGAAAGGGTCCTGTTTAAAACCTCGTGCAATCGCAGATCACAGGCCATTGTGCGTCCCAGCCTGAGGGTACTTTTCCTAGGCAAAAAAGTCAGCCTAATGACAACATGAACTTTATGCTGTGGGAAAAAGCAAAGAAGGGAAAGTGTGAGTGGGAAGGAGACATGCTGGAGCTGAATACAATTAGGGGATCGAGGAAAACTCAATGATGGTGATTAATAAGAGATTCAGGTAGGATAAAGGATGTACTTCTTCCAGTGGGATGTAGTTAAACTCTGGGATGTTCTATAATATTTTGGTGGCCATGAACTTGAATGGTTATAAAAGGGTTAGATGGAGCATGAAGATCCATAATGATAAGGGAGCTGTATTGCTTTCCATATTGGGGCAGAGTACCCCTGAATATTGGTTGCTTGAGAATATATGCAGGATAGTAATATTGCCTGTTGATACTGTTGAGTATCACATTGGACTAGTTGGGTCGGATCCCCTGCTTTTCTTCTGTGATTCTTTCAATTATATATATATGTGTTGGTTGATGATGGAGATAATTGTTTGTATTGTAAATAAAGGCCCCTCTGATATCTTACATATTCTAAATGTGCTTTTTCAAATAAAGAGATGAAAAGTGCTAGGCTGGATATTTTTTCATCACCAGCTGCTGAGTAGAATATGTACTTTCTCTCAAGTTAGTTCCTACATGAAAAAAATGCATGATCTGGGAATTTTGTTTATTATTTGTAGGCCCAGCAAAAATTTCATTTTGTAACAGAGGCAGCATTCCAAAAACAGCTTTCTCCCTTTGACTTTTTCTCCCTCAGAGTAATTTTTCCAAAGTAATAATTTTGCTTCTGGGAGGAAAGCTTAACATATAAATATGTTATATATATATAAAAGTTCTGAAGGAAGCAAATACAGTCATTTGAAAGAGACTGACTTCAGCTACTCCCCAAAAGTATAAATAAGGAATTGAAATGTAGTTCAGTTCAATGGGTGAAACAAATGCCCTCTAATGGATTTCATGCATTTTCTTACTTCTAGTACGTGTAACTGCTTTTCTGCTAAGGAAAAGCATCCTCAATGTTGCAGAGCATAATAATCGAAACACAGTACAATGCACTTTATCAGTAAAGCCATAAAGTCACATAAATAATAGTAAAAAGCCAGGCAGCGGGAAGAACAAGTAGTATGCCAAAGGCAGGATTGAAATTTTCCTGAAGTCTAAAGCAGAGTCCCAGGTAGCTAAGTTGATCCTACCTGCAGCCTAAGCGTGTAATAACACTTGGGTATTTACAGCTAAACACTGTTGTTTCTGGCTCAGCTTAAAACAAAAATAGTTGTGAAAAGCTGGTTTTAGTGAACACACGGAAATTAAGCAAAAGTGTCATGCACCTTGAGGCTAAATCTCATGGGCGGAGGGATGATGGAAAAAGGCATTATCCAATATGACTTTTTCTTGAGTCACCCAGGTAATAGAGGCATAAACAAATGCTCATTTGGTGGAGCATGGGTTACTTGTTTACAAATAAAGTATTTTTTCTTAACATCAGCAAGCTACCAAATAAAAAGGTTTATGTGGGTTAAAGAGGGTTCAGACCATACAACCTAGGTTCAGAATGAATGTATGTCTAGGACCAATACACTTGGTTTACTTGCTTGCAACAGGACCTAACTGGTTTCAACTGTTAATTTTGGTCCAGGAGTGGGGAAAAGGTTGCCTTCCAAATGATTTAAACTATAATTCTCATCAGCGTGGCCAGTGGTCAGTCCTATACAGCTCTTAATTCCAAACTTCTGGTGCACCCCAAATTATAGTGATTTAGAGTTTGAAACAGCATAATCTGAAGAACCCTGAAGTAAAGGCAACTTAGTAGAACTTGCTAGACTAAAAAGAAAAAAGAAAAAGACAATTCTCTTTGTTTGAATGCAGTCTGAGTAATGCAGACTGAGGAAGAATAATGGATCTTAAAGAAGGGATTTTACACCAGGAAATCACGGTGGAAAGAGCAAGAGCTGTTACTGGATGGCAAGTTAAATACACTGAGTTGAATGTATGTTTGTTCAGTACACATTGCATTAGAATAATAAATAATAAGATGAAAAATGATTTTATTCTTAAATGTATTATCTGAAATAATACTATTTCTTTGTCAACTGGTTATAGGATTAACTTTCTGGCCAATAATAATGTGAACATGGCAAATAAAAAACTAAGAAGAGCAGGTTTACCTCAAGAGCTTTGTGAGAGACTAAGTCGACATCAGATTGTTACTTGCCAGGTGAGGAAAGTTCTTGTTATATGAAGGAAAATATGTAATAGATGAGACAGTTCCTGAAGTGTGTAGCTTTAATCATGTGTAAAATATGTGCTTGATGCTTGTTTGCAGGATTTCTTATCTCTTTCCTTCCTGGAATTAATGAAACTGACTGGACAGAGCTACTGGAATGTGCAGAAACTTCTTCGGACTGTCAGTCAATCCTGTGCTCCTAGAATGCAAACTGTAAGTATTCTTTTGCAAATTAGGATAGGAAAAAAAGCAAAGTGTTCTCAGCATACGTAGTGTCTTTCTGATTGTATGTGTGTTACATTCGATGTGTTCCATTGGAGGGATAGAGGAAGAAAAATGTTATTTTCTTATAGGAAAGCTGGAATGTGTGAAGTCTCCTTTTTTGCAATGTAAAATGTAACTGTAGCAATAACTGTTTAGTCTGAAACAGTGTTTCTCAACCTTGGCTGCTTTAAACTGTGTGGACTTCAACTCCCAGAATTCCCTAGCAGCCGTGCTGGCTGGGGAATTC